GGTGGTACCTCGGAGGAGCATTGCTTGGTGCAAATACTTGAAACAAACAACAACAACAAAAATGTGACTGAGACCTCTTCTCCTTAACTTACGTTATTCAGGCATGATTCCATGAAAATGGTGATTTTTTTTTTTTTTTTCATCCGACTTAGGGTTGAAATGAATTCAGCACTTTTACTGCAAGTTGTTTTAAATGGAATCTCTTTTCCGACTAAAGGTACTCTTGTCTTTTAAGGAAACAATGCACTTGGAGTGGCGTGTTGTGAAATGACATACACGGACCTGTTCTCCAATTTCCCTTTTAAAGTAATGTGTCGTGATATTACATACACTTCGCGTGTGCTAAAGTGACTTTGTATTCTTTTGCGGTTAATTCTTTATGTTATTTCACTTCCCCTATAGGAAGGCCTTGTGACATGCTCCAGATTAAGTTCATTTAAAAATTTATGTTGCAAACCCCCATGTATTTGAAGAAAAAAATCAGAACATTATGCGTCTGAGTTCTTCCAAAACGTCAGTAACATGTATAGGACATGATTTTGTTCTGAGCGCTGATTTTTCTGGTTTGATATTATAAATCTCTTCTTCCAGGCGTGAATTGTAAAACTGGCTGCCACCCAGAGAATGGATTTTGTGAATTTCCCAGTGAATGCAGGTAACAAGATCTGTCAGGCTCGGGCTATTAGCACGGGAACGGACGGCTTCAATAATTCATAGTCCTGGTAAAATAGACAGAAGCTGAAATGATTTGCGCTCTGAAAATATGGAACTGTAGTGAAACAGCACTCTATTAGGATACAGTAATTGGAATCATTGAGCATAGGCATCTAGGTGCTTTTTTAGTCTACTTTTTCCAGTAAGAAAAGTATTTGCATTCATCAGCATTTATTTATTATTTTTCTCATGGAATGAAATGGTTTTCTTCACATAAACTGCTGCTGGTATCCCAGAAGCACTGATGGTATCTTTTTGTTCAACTGTGCTGTATAGTCCAATTTTGTATCCAAAAGTTTATTTATTGTGCCTCAAAAAAGGGGAACATCCTTGTAATTATGCTCATTCAAAATAAACTATGCCTCTATCTTGTCTTTTATCTCTTTCAGGTGTCAACCTGGTTGGCAGGGTGCTCTCTGTAATGAGTGTGTTCCTTTCCCTGGGTGTTTGCACGGCAGCTGTGCCAAGCCCTGGCAGTGCATCTGCGAGGAGGGCTGGGTTGGCAGCCTCTGTGACATAGGTTTGCACATCCTTTCCTGTCCTTGAGCAAGTGAGGTGAAACAGCCCCATCTGGTGCTGGACACATGCAAAAGTCCTTCGGGATAACTTAATTTTGAAAGATTGGATGTTAGCGCCAGATAATAGTAAGGGGATTCTGGGCAGCAGCATATAAACCTGGAACTTTTATAACAATTTAGGCAGAAGCATGCAGTATCTTTTGTGACTGGGCATATGTGCGAACAAAGCATAAATTCATCATTCTATTTTAAACATTGATCATCGTGGATAAGGCCAACAAATAACTGCTCCCTTGTTGTCATATAAGCCTTTTCTATAAAAATAAAAGTCATCTTGTATATATTAAATCATTTGGAATATTTACCTGACACATTTTTTATATATATATATCTGTGTATATATATATATATTTATATATATATGCTGCTTTCTGCTCAGAACGATGTGAGCATAATACTTAATATTTCTTGAAAAGGAAAACATTGTGCTTATTTCTTCCCTTACTTAACCCAGTGATGATTCAGTGGAATAGCATTAGTATAACTGAGAAAAAGGTCTGCCTGAACAAGCTGCTGCTTCCCTCTCAGATCTGAGGGATAAGCACAGCTCTTGTGTGCGCTCTCTCTCCCCTTGCCAGTCAGAACGAGCCAGCTTAGCATAAGCAAGCTGAAGAATTGGTGTTTGCTGAGCTGGTTTATTTTGGCTGACACAGGCAAATGTTCAGCCAAAGAGATCTGAGGGCACTGAAACAGCGTGAGCATCCAGGAGCGTGTGCCTCCTCAGCCTGCGTAGCTGCAGCTGGAAGAGGACCGGTGTCCGGGGCCTCATTCTCTTTGCAGGTCTTTCAGGCTTTGGTCATTATACAGCTTATAATTTATGGAGCATGCCTGTGTTCTACCAATGAATATGGAAAACAGTAATTAATGATGACACAGTTTGAACTGGATACAATTTTCAAGATGACAAGAAGACTCGGAAGATTTCAGGTAGTTGACATCCTTGCAGTGACGTGGAGCTTGGTTCAAGGTACTCAGGTACTTATTTAGCTTCCCATCGGGTTTTGCAGCCTGTACTCATCAGCTGCACACATAAGCATAGACAGGCTTCTTAGCTTAAAGCTAGTCCTGGTATGTTTGCAGGAGCTGCGGTAGCAGTGGTGCAGATGTGACGATAAGCTCTCAGAGATGCTGTTCTGGACACCTCTCACAGATGTGTTTGTACCTGAGACAACCACCTAGATTCTCATTACAATTAGTGAGGAGGAATGGGTCCCTCTGTTGCCTGTGATCTACAATCACAGATTTCTAAAACTAGACAGAACAACTCTTGCTGCCACCTTAGGAGGCTCAGTTCTATTGCTTGTCAATGACTCCAAAGGACATTTTAAAGGTACCATCTTCACAACTAAAGACTCCTGTGAATTAAGATTAAGTTTTTCAAGCTGGACATAGTTTTAAAAGCTGTAAGTGCCCAGCTGAATTTCTAAGTACCAATATGTCTTTGCAATTCTGAGCCTTGCAATATTTCCCTCTTGCAAGGAGAGAAATGGAATGACTTAGGATGCAAAACAATGCTTTGGGAATTGTAGCCATATCTTTACAGAAAAATATTATTTTAATACATATTCATTAAGATAGCTCTAGAATACAAAAAAAGGTATCCCTTGCTTAAGTTCAGAAGCTATTATTTCTCTCAACACTCAGAGTCATCTCAGAGTTGTCTTTGCCAATTTGAATCTAGATCCCCATGAAGAGCTGCCAAGAATATTCAGCCAAAAAGAAATAACCATCTTTTCATCTGCAGGGACATGTTACGCTGACAGTCTTTCATCTCAGTGGATTTACCTGCTCTAAATGCATAGTTTTGCCACAAGGGATCAAGAGAAGGGTCCTCCTTTTCTTGCTCCTGGAAGGTTGCTACAAGTTGTTATCCTGACCCAATAAAGCGCCTCAAATGGGGTAATTGCTGAATGTCTGACCTCATCGTCCTCTGCCCAAAAGTTGGTGTCAGTTTCCTGGCTGTACAAAGTCCTTACAGACTGCTATAACTCATTAACAGGTACCACTAAATGAAATGTCATCAAGTTAGGAAAAAGGGAGGCTTCTGAAGGCTCCTGCTCTTTGTGGGATCACAGGCATATACACATAACTGTTCTTTAAATATGGAAATACAAACCCATCAATTTCTTACCGTAAAGTACCAGACTCCCTGCCTCTAATACTGAATTTTTGTCTCCGATGAGAGCAGGCCACAGGTGTTATATTTTTCACATGCATATGACATTAAGTGCCATTTTTTAGCTATTGGAGACCATTCTTAGCTTCAGGTGTATGATCAGATCAGGCATTTTAGAAAGCAACTTCTGTATTGTTTCTGTGGAGATTGACAAATGGTCATGAGTAATGCAGTTTTGGCATTCTTTTAAAATTCTTCCCTTTTGCTGCTATAGAAAGTGTAATATTTGCCAGGGAACTTCTGGCATAGACACTGTTTTAATGTTGGCAGCTCTGAGCAAATGCTAAAGATGCACAAGGATGGCAAAACTGGGAATGGAAAAGTGTGGGAGGGTCTGAAGTTCATTTGGCCACTACTGTAAACACCTGAAATATTTGTAAAATATAGATATAGTCTCAGCAGCTTATTTGCTTTCTAAGCGTGGGAAGAAAAAAGATGATTCAGAATGGTCATGGTTTTTCTTTTTCTGTTTTCTAGAGGAGTTAGTGTACAGCTCCCTGGCTTGGAACGTGGAAGTTCCTTTCTGGAGTAGTTTCAGATCATCAAGTGGTTTGCTAATGCCTCTTGACTGTGTAGTTGTTGTTTTCACTATGGGCAGCCTGGTTCTCAGTTCAGGTCAAGAATGACCTTCCTAGTTATTTATTGGCGTGCAAATTATAGGTCAGGCTTGATCCACTGTAAGCATGTAGGCCAGGATCTGTGGTATCATTTATGGCTATTATTGCAGTCACGTGGGCAGGCATGGCACTTAAAGAAAGAAATCTATGAATTGGCAGTAGGGTTAACGCTGCTAGTTAACCTCTTTGCAATGGAGTGCACCAGCCTGCCTGAATGCCATGGCCACTTCTCGTCCTGTGGAAACACAGCCTTGAAATCAGGAATATGAACTTCTGGAACCAGGCTGCACAGCACAGGGCTTCCTGTACAGCAGGTACCGCACCAAACACGGAACATAACAAAGGGAAAAACAGTTTAGTCGATTTATTTCCAGGAAAAAATGGCAGCCCAGTCGGAGTATATGATGCACCTTGCTAAATCGGATCAGTCAACTCTGTTGTCACTTCTGTCATCTTGTCATCTCTGGGTGTGCCTGCACCGCCATGTTAGTGGGCCCCTGACCTCCCTCTTGAAACTTAGCTTTGATTTGGCTAAAAAGCCAACATGTGGTGTGAGCTCAGAGTATACTATCATGTATATCATAGTATATATATATACACACATTATATCATAGTATACTACGTGTCACTCGACTGCTTTGCCAAGGGCACATGTTGGTAAGCTGTCATCAAAGAGTGCAGGTGCAGCCTCTGAAGCCTGTCCTAGGCATGCATGCAACAGGGTCTAGAAATTCTGCCCCACAGACTGCTACTGAGCATGTCTTCCTCATAAGAACACTCAGTGATTGCTTCATGTACTGCAGCACGACAACTCAGTTTTACAAAAATATTAATTAATTTATTGATAATTTGATTGTGGCCATTCATAATATATGTGTGAGTGTATAGTCCTTTTTTCAAATTCTCATCTCAGAATCAGTTATCATGTGAAGCAAGTAAATCAGTTGGTTGTTGGCCTTTCGAGAGGTAAACTAGACAAAACAGAGAAAATGGGCTATTGGGGGCTATTTATGTATTTATGTTTTAAAAGGATATGTTTCTACAAGCTTTTAAGTTGTGCTTTAAAATTAAATCCTTGACACAAATTATTGACAGTAAGGTATGTGTATATGTATATGTACGCACGTACTTATCCATATATATTTCAGAGAGTTTCCTTGCTCCTGCATCAGAGTGCATGCTTTATTAGCTGCCTTTAAAGCCTATGAAAAGAGGTGGCAAATAACACTGCTCCAAAAAGCATTCAAGGTTATTTTGATCCTCATGAAAATTGGAGCTTATACGCAAAGTGCATGCAAAGTTGTTGTCTTGCAATGAGAACAAGCTAATACATTAGAAAATAGAGCCTCTTATCCAGGGAAGATTGTATTTGAAGGCTAAGGCTGTTGAAGTGTTTTGCTTATGGTTAAAATTTTGCAGTACATCATGGTATCATCTAACTTTTATGTTATGTTGTGGGAAGTAAAATATAAATGCCCTTAAATCCCTTTTCATCTTCTTAGAAAGTGTATGTGTGCACGAGTGTGCGAGGCATCAGTTAACTTGCAGCCAGCACTTCTCTGCAGCTGCTCCATTAGTTGGCTAAAATATGCACTTGTTTGTTTATTTATTTTTAATTATTTTAAAAATTCAGTAATCATTTGAGTGGGGGGTGGCTCAGCAGGGAAATTGTAAAGAAAATGAGATGCGTGACTTTGGGCCCAGATGTCATACAGCTCTCTCTTCTGCTACAGTTATGTAAGGGCTGGATGCAGCCCAGCCAAAAGATGAAATTTTAAGAGATTTTTTGTAACTTGCTGATCTCTGTTATTACAAAATGTTTGTTCATAAGTACATAATGATAGGCTCTTGGGCAGGGAGCAGGGAGAATTCCTGGTTCCTGATTGCTTTATCAGAATTCAGCTCATGGAGAAGCCAAGATTGTGAAAGGATGGCTAGACTACATAGAAGTTCTTTATTCCCCTACTAATATTTTATTGATAATACTACTTATTTATAGACTGGAACAATTCAAACGTGTTTTACACGTGGGAGCTAGGAAGAGAGAAACAAGCTGAAAGTGCTTGCAGTAGCTGAACAATCTGAACTCCATTTTAACAGAGAGAGGAATAACTCAGAATTTACAAAATGCAGGATGAAGGACCATTAAAGCTATATTTTATTTGAAGTACTGTTTACTATTTACTGACTCCTTCTCATTAGATTAATTGAGACATGTTTTTTTTAAACAGATATTCACCCATGTTCTACAAAGCCCTGCACCAATAACTCAACATGCATAGAGACTGGCGATGGAGGATATATTTGTCTGTGTGCCCAGGGATTTACAGGAAAAAACTGTCATCTCAAAAAAGGACCCTGCATTATTAATGGGTAAATACTGACTTTTCACAT